AGTACTCATCACTGTGCTACTCACATGTCTGTTCTGTGCTGCCTCTCATCTTTTAGTAGACAGACAATTTTACTGTGACCTGCTTCAATAAACTATTATGTCTGCAATTTGCAAAAAAATTAGAGCTAAATGCAGTGCTTTGGAAATGGACATCCATGCCAGCTATTACCATTGTCATATTTGTGATTTATTTTCCCCCATTATCCTTTTTCCACAGCTGGCATAAACTGAAGAAATGGGGTGGCCTATGAAAAACAGTTACAGTCATCAGAAACAAGGAGAAAAAATAATAAATTCCAGAACTCTAGTTTAGAATAAAGTGGCTCACTTCTGGGAAACATAGTATAAGTATGAAGTAGCAGTGAATAAAAATTAAATGTCTGTTGTTCATTAGTCCACCAGATAATGAACTAGCAATATTTCATGGATTAGGGCATGCAAAGATGGAATCTGTGATCATCTGTGCAATTGACAAGGGCATCAATGAAACTAAAATTTACTCCCCATTTAGGCTGACACTGCTGAAGAAAGAACCAAAACTTAGTTTACAGTACTTTAAATTCCTTTAAATATGTAAATAATATGCATTTAATTGGTCAGGAAAGGTCAAACCCAAACCTGTGGTTTCAAAAGCTTGCATGTTTGAAGTGCACTAAATAGACTTTAATATCAAAGTTAAATGATGTTTACTAAGCTTTCTTGATTCTTGCCAAGGACAGGCTGACTTACAGGACAGACACTCAGAGCAAATATTCACCTTCTCCCCATAGGCAGAAATTTTCCATCATCTCAACGATCCTGACTACACTTCTGCCTCTCCTTTTCCCGCAGTAACCAGCAGCCACTGAAATGGCAGCCCTGTGCACCTGGCTGTGAGCAATAGGGAGGGACTGCAAATATGTACATTTAAATACTCACAGAGAATTTATATATTTATATATATATAATATACTATATATTATATAATGGCCAAATATGCCTGTTTTCATGCCAAGCACTTGTCCAGAAACAGCACTTTAATGAGTCTGTTGAAGGTGTCATTACAAATATCCATGCTCAGTTCCAGGCTATGAGTGCCTTCATTTCTCTCAGTGGGGGATCAACAGTTTCCTCCAATTTCACAGCAAAGAGAGAGGGCAAAGCTTGGGAAGCTGCTGCAAATGAAATACAGAAAAATGTTGTGGATCATTTCTGTAGTAATTCCCTGTGAAAGCCAGTAATACATTTATAAACTTGCAATTATACATGCAAGGCATCGTTGCTGGCAAGTAGCACTGCAATGAAAGGCTGTACAGTTGCTATTGCGGTCACTGACAGTTTGCTCTGTTCTGCTATATGGTTTCCTTTTTATGTATCATGTAAAGATATTTTGATGATGTTTCACCACTGTAATATGCAAACAGCATTTTCTATGAGGCAGAAAATTAAAATCAAAGGTGGATACCCAAAGGCATTGAGAAAGTATGTTAGTTTCTTTATTTATGCAGTTATTTAAAGAATCTCGTATGAAAACTGGCATGGCTAAGCCACAAGAGTATTCATTTGGATAGTTGAGCTCAAGGTCTTCAACTCACTATCAGCTCCATATTCTGCTCATTGCAAGAAGTTTTTGCCATGTTTGCTTTGAAAGGTGCTGATAACCCACAGTGTAAAAATGCCACTTATTCAGTTAGTGTGGAGCATTTGCTAATTTTTTTCAGGGAAAGTAATCATAGCTACATTTTGGAAATATAACTTTCAAAAGGCTGCTTTGCACTTCTAATGTTGGGGGTCAGGTCTGCTAAGCTGCTTCTCTTTGCTGAACCCATTTTCATTAACATTTCCTGGCTCCTCAGAGAGCTGGTCACAGCCCTGCCAGCACTGCTTCCATCTAAGGTTTGTCTCAGTTTTGGTCTAGATTAGAGCAATTATGGACTTAATTATTGGCTGTACAGCTGTTCTCTCTGTACCCTGCCAAAAGGCAGCCTAGCACAAAGTCTTCCCTGCAAAAAATGCTGGTGACAAAGCAAATCTGGTGTGCTGAATCTGATACAGTCACAGCAACTCCCATCACAGAGCCAAACCAGAGTGTTACAGAAACTGCTGCCATGCCCCCAGCATGCCTGACCCTCTGCAGGCTTTGGGCAGGGGTTCTGAACACCTCTCTGGGATCTGGAACACGTAATAGCTGAGGATCAGGCATGCAGACAAGTCTGCACATAAAAAATTTTTGTCCCCTGTTTAGACCACCAAATCCTCCATCCAGTTATCCCAGCACTGAACCTGCTTCATCAGTTGTAGGAGAGTTATTTCTCAAGTGCATTGTTTGAACTTTTGTGCATTTCAGTATGCCAGTAGAGTCATGTTTGGTCCACTGCTTTTTTTGATATCAACACATTTTCCCTAAGGACTAGACATAAAATTACCAATACTTCAGTCTAACTGGTGGCACTTTCCCTTTTCCATCTGCTCCCCTGCACCCTGCCCAAGCACCAGCCCACACCATCCCTCAAGTGCTTAAGCTGAGGGTCAATTATTGCCATGAAATATCTTTTAAAATCCTGAATAATAATGAGTGTCCTTGGAAATTCGTGCTCCAGCATGGTCCAGCATGATTTCATTTCTCTTGCAAGATTGGCTGCTGGGCAGCTGCTGCTCTCAAAGCCACATCTTGCCTGTTTCCCTGCTTGCCACAGGGATTATGAACTAACCAAGTGAATTTAATTATTGGTTTAACCTTTGAGGATTTAGGTGATTTCCAGCTTTTTCACCTCTGCTTACACACTGATGAGCCATCCTGTGCTTGAGGTTGCACAGAAACTGAGGTGAGGTGCCAGGAGGAGAAGGGAGGGCACTCTGGGACAAGTGTGTGGTGTCCTGGTGTCAGGGCAGGGCGGTGGAGCTGCAGGATCCTCTAAGCTGCCTGCCACTGCTGCCCAGAGCCAGGAGGGACACAGCAGTCCCTGCCCCAGCACAGGAGCTCACAGGGGTTCACAGGAGCTCACAGGGGCTCACAGGGGCTCACAGGAGCTCACAGGAGCTCACAGGGGCTCACAGGAGCTCACAGGAGCTCACAGGAGCTCACAGGGGNATTTACAAATGAGTTTTGCTGTAATTAGCTTGTTCCTGTTTCAGATTCTTTTATGTGGTAGGTTTTGTACAGGACACAGAAAACATTCTGTGCATATTGACTCTCTTTGTAAGGAAGGTTCTGAACTGTAAAGTTACCACTTATCTACAAAACATTTACACTTAAATCAGAATCATAAGATAATTTAGAGTGGGAGGGAACTCATGAGTTTACCTAGCCCAAAACCCATATATACATATAATTTCATTAGGGGAGAACAAGAGTTTTAACTCTTTAATTAATGTTTATTATGCTTTCATTAACTTTCATTAACACTTTTCAAGAATAGCAGTTTTCTGGGTGCTGGTATCTCTAACAGAGTGAACTCCAAAGGGCTGAGCTTATCAGGACCTTAAATGAACAATATCTGGATACAGTCCACACATCTCTGCCTGTTACAGGCACACAAGATTGACCCTTCCCATGCTGACACACATCCAGGAGTGATGTGATTTCCTTGTTCCTGAAAGTGTGTGTGTGTTTTCTGCCTGCATTTCAGAAGAAGCAGGTAGGGTGTGCTAGGAATGAGCCCAAAGGCAAGCAATAGATGAAGCAAATGTGCTGCTTGGCTGTCAGAGAGCATCTTCTCATGGACCATAACATTAATTCCTAGATAATAAAATGGAGCTGAAGAGTCTCCTCTGGTGTTTATTCAAAAGGAGAACTGGATTTTTTCTACTTACTCTCTGAAGCAAAACCATCCACGAATTACAGACAGCAGAAAAATATTTATAACCTGCTCTAATATGAAAATTCCTTATGTAATTTCACATCCCATTGTATCAGTCCATTACAGATTTCATTTCACATACTTTTCCCTACCTGCTAACACAAAATCAAATAAGTGCATGACATCAGTGTGTGTGCATTTGCAAAAGCAAGTACCAATAATCTAAATGTAAATATGTTTTTAAATGATTCCGGCTGTAGGCCCTAGAGGAGGAATGAATAAATGAAATTTCATTCAGTTTTCCTAAACAACTTAAAGGCTTTGTTTTTTAAAAAAACCCATGAATTTGCTAGGAGTTAGATCTTCAGACTTCTAAAGTTTTTTTGAATTCTCTCAGTTTTGGCAGGTGAAACCAGAAGAATCAATTGCTTTTGTATCTTCTGCAAACCTCAGTGCTTTATATATTGCTCTTCAGTAGAAACAGCGATAGGAACATCAGACTAGGCTGGAAGAAAGGTTCACTGGTATTTGACAAAACATAATCCCACCTGAGATAATGAGAATCATGTAATTTAAACCAGTAGTATCTTGAGTAATGATTTTTAAAAATTGCAATCAATTTATTATTAATATAATTTTTTTAAAAAAATTGTACCCAGTAATATTTGTCAGATGCTTCCTTTTAAGAGAATACATATAATACACTTAACTTTCATTTTTTCAAATATATTTTTAATACTTCTTGTGTTCCACTGATAATTTGTGGACTAAATTACCTCAAAACAAATCATCACTTGAAGTGTTAACCAACATTTTCATGTTAGTTCAGCAAATCTTCATGAGTTTCAGTAGAAAGCACATTGTGTGGGTTCCCTACAGCTTTTATATTGGTACCAGTAAAATATAAATGAGATTGGTGTGAACATAAATTAGTTCAACTTGTGGTTCTTTGATGTTAATTATGGAGACATGCAATTTGAATGATTTTTTTCTTTTTTTGCCATGTGTATTCTTCACATTATACAAGCAGCATCTTTCTGTTTAAATGGTTTAAAATATGACTGTGTGGTCTCTTCAATTTAATTAGTTGTGGTTTTATATTTTAGGGCTTAACTTTCTCTTTTCATTATGAAACATTTTCTTCCTGACTAATTTTAAAGAATCATTCTAAAGGAATTGAGCCTGCTGGGTTCATTTATTTATTTTTGTCTTTCCCAGCTGTAGGTATCCAGATGAAACTTGAATTTTTCCAGCGGAAATTTTGGACTGCAAGCAGACAGGTATATTTTAAATTGAAGTTTTCTTTGTCATTGAATTTGCAACAGGTTTTTAACTGTGGAAGTAATGATCTTGTCACAAGTAAACTATTGTAAAGAAACAATGTATTTGGAGACTTGTTCTGTTTTTACATTTGGATATAGAAAAGAATTTAGAGATGGAGAGCAGTTGCTTGATTTTTGGAAGCAAGTAGGAAGTTTATTAATTTTAGGACCCAATACATAAGGAGTTACTTTGCTGGCATGTGGTTTTTCTCCCCTAGAAAAAGTGCAGCAGTAAACAAAAGTGTGGTTTTTGTTTCCAGCTATAGCAGAATCACTTCTCCCATAGGTTTTCTCTCTAAGGAACTGTAGGATCACACAGATTAATTGACAAAACTGCATTCCTGAATGATGGTTGGTACTTGTAGAGTTCAATAAACTTCACCTAAACCATTCAGGGATAGAATTTGTGCTCACTGGAGAGGATAATCAGGTACTTTCTAAAGATTAGGAGATGCCATCCCTGGTTTGAGAATCAATTGGAACTGTGCTGTTGCAGAAAATAAACCCTGGCCCCACCCCTACTGGAGAATCTTCTCTCATCTATGAATGGTCTCAAAGATTTAGAGTATGGAGGAGACTGTGTTATTTAAAGCAGCTGAAATTACCGTGTGAATGAGCCCTTTCTCTGCAGGGAGGAACGGAATGCATTTGGTGAATGATTCAAAAGTTTGCTGGTCATTTTTAGAATTAATTTAGATAAAGATGTAATCAATATCAATTCCTTTAAAATTTTTCTCATATGAATATATATTTTTTTTTTATTTTGTAGTCATCCAATAAAAATTGAAAATATTTCATTAATTTTTTTATATCATCTCTAGTGTGCATCTCTCGACGGCAGATGTGCTATAAGTTGTGATGATGAAGTAAGTATTTAACAGATTTTTTTCCATGTATACCTCTACTGCAATAGAAGATACAATTTATGAATTTAATTTGAACATCTCATGGTCTTTATCACCTTGTAAATATTTTACTATTTAGATACTGAGACTTTTGTTATGCCTGTTACAGACTCCCACTGAATTACAAGGTTGAGTCCAGTACCTCAAACATGTGTTGCAGTAATTTCTGCTTTGTGAATCCAGTTTGGGAAATAATTTGAAGCACTGCTAAGGCATTTGTTTACTACTTTATTGTTGATGAAGAAAAAAAAAACCACTAGCAGTTTAAAGTCTTCAGCTGGACACAGCAGGAACCATACAACCATATGTAGAAATTTAATAATTGTGTGAACATTGCTGATTTAGAGATTCCAGACTTTTCCTTAATGACAAAATGCACTGTTGGTAGGACTCAAAAAAAAAATCACAGCTCCTCTGGTGAGTCCCTTGACTTTCACAGCTTCTCTCAATGGCAAGAAAATACCTGCTGAACATTTACAGTATAAATTAAAGCATTTAAAAGTAAACATGAAGAAATTAATGCAAATTGAGTGGCACAATAGTCAATAAATATTAATGATTCAGTAATAACATGTTAATTATAAGAATAATTAAAACTAAAGTGAATTAATTGATGAGTGTGTGATACCTTTGACCCTAAAATAGAGAAAACCCATGAATTAAAAATACTTTTTTTTTCCTTGAGAGCTTTGAATTTGCTCATTTATTCTTGTTTTCCTGATGCCTGACATTTTATTTTAATGTTCTGTTTTCTTTCTTTTTCATTTCTGGTTTCTTAACCCATGTTACATTCCATTACTGTTATTGTATACTGGAGCTGTGAAAAATACATAGAGGACTTGAACTGGATCAAAGTTACTGTAGTTCAGATGTGTTCTCAGACCTCAGTTAACATTCTTGCTGTGTTTATTCTGGACTTCATGCCTACAGTTTTACAAGCTCAGGGACTCTCCACCTATGGAACGTTCCCCTTGAAATCTGAAATTCACTGAACTTGAACCTTTGGGCAAACCTGAGCCTAGTTCACTTCCAATACCTGTGAAACATTGTGAATTAGACCTCTTTCACACAGCTGTAGTCTATGCAAATGCTATTACCCCACGCATAAATCTCATATCAGAAATCTGAGGTTTGCTAGTAATGAGTAAATGCATTCTTCTGCCCTTTGTCCGTGTGAAAGTTAAATTACGAGCTGCTGCTTTAACACAGTAGTGATACTGAAAGTTGTTTGTCTTGCTGGCAAGTGGTGAATGAATGGTCCTGAATGAATACTTTTTTTTCCTAGTTAATATTTCTAAAATGGATTGAAATAGAAACCCTCTTATCTTCACATTCCATAATGTTCTATTTATTGCATTATGTCTGTTTCCAATAACAGTGCTAAAAAATTAGTATCTTTTAAAGTTCTGAACTGTGCTAGAGAATAACTAAATCTTAGAGATTTGAGTCAGGGCCACTAATTCTTGAGTCGAGACAGTCTTTTCCCAACAGCACATAAGCCATAAACTATGAAATTAAGCCTACACTTTTTTTTTTGTCCAGCATGACTTCTTTTATTTATTTTCTATACTATGGAGAAATATTGTTTCTAAAGCAGTATCTTTAGATTAATCTTTCATGCATGAGGACTGCAAATATGTATCCTCAAAAGATCTCTGTGTTGACTTAGCTCCTCTCCTCATGCAGTCGGTGGGAGGTTTCTGGATGACTTTGGGGAGAGCAGTGTTGTGCTGTTAGAGCCTGCTTCTGAAATTCCATCCTTCACACACCACCGAGGTTAAGGAGCTGCCTCTTCTGAGTGCGTCAGTCTGCTCAGTTCTTTGCCAGCATCATCAGCTTTTCACATTGCATTTGCCAACTTTGGGCTTTCTAGCAGATCAAAGGTTGAAATTGAGTTGTTCCAACTTCCTTTCTGACAGGTTTTCTGTCACTGGGGGTGTCTGTAGCCTGGGTTCTCCTATTAGAATGAATATCCTGCATTTGCATTAGGGAATGATGGACATTCTGAACTTTTGCCTGATTCCAGCTTTTGCTTTTTTAAAACACTCCAAGCTATCATTTCTGCAAATTTCTCTGCTTTGGCCCCACAGAACAGTAATAATATGTGGCTGGAATGAGACTCAGGCGCATCTAAGCAACTCTGGAAATATCAGACTGCATTTTCACATCTTGCACACTTCATGGGGCTGCTTTCCTCCCTAAATCAGCACAGAGACCTTGCTGGATGTGCAGCATGCAGCAGAAAGCATATTTTGTCATATTTCTGTACAGCCCATTTGCAGCAGGAAAGGTCTTGAATTCAAAACAAAGCCAGGAGGATTCCTGTATTGAAAGCCATTCTTCTTATTTTTTTCCTTTCATGCAAATGTCATAGAAAATTCAATAAGCAAGGATAAAAATGTTGTTGATTTAGACCAACAATAGAAATACAATAAAGATTTAACACTGAGATAGGTATTTGGCAATACTGAGGAGAAGCTGAGTTCTATCAAGGTTTCAGGGTTTGAGTTGAACCTTATGTTTAAACTCTGAAGTGCAGTAATTAAAACTTTGCCTGTAGCAAGTAATTCTGTGAGGTTAAAATGGTGCATGTGTGTGTGGAGGGAAGCACTGATTTTCCTTGTTTTATACAGTTCAGACGTCTGACCTACAGAAAGCTAACAGTCCTACCTCTAAACCCAGTTCCCAATTAAAAATACAATTTGAAAAGCTTTAGGAGACCTGTGGGGCCTCTTTTACAGAAGTTTCTGGTCCCATCCCCCAATGAACAAATTAAAAAATATTACCTGGTCCCCTGTTGGTTCTGCAGGCTGACACTGTGTTTTCATTAATACATCGTTAGGGTAATGACATTGTGCTGATGTTTTTCTCCAAATACAGGAGCAGCCATCAGGAACGCTGAAGTTCTGTGCCTTTGCAAACTTTGTTGCAAGGAAAACATACAAGAATGAATTATAAAAATTTTGGGGTTTATGTTTGCTTGTAATTATCTTATATCCACCCATTCTGTACACATCTTCATTTTGTTTTGCATGGAAAAGAAGCAAAAAAAATGAAATTGGGTAATACCCCATAACCAAGACTACACTCATTTTGAATTTATGTAAAATCTTATAACAACCTGAAGGTTTTACCCATTTACAATTGAATTAGAATTAAAGTATGTAACTAACTTATTGCTGTGCCCTAAAATCAAAATTTTAAATAATATTTTGTTATTTTTCAGACAATCAACTGTTACCTAATAGATAACAATGGATTTATTTTAGTGTCTGAAGACTATCAACAGGTAAGTGTAAGATTTTTTTTGAGTCTTCTCATGTAACATATTAATCTAAAATTACTTTTTTTAAATAGGCCACAATCTGAAAATGGTAAAGAATTAGCAACAGAAAATTAAAAAATAAAAAACAAAATCCTTCTACAAAGAATGTAAGGTTTTTTTTCTCACAGGAGCTCAGTTTCTGTCTCCCATTGGAGCGGGGTCTGTTCTTAAACTCATAAATGTTCTCTTGAAAGAGCTTTCTCTCACACTGCAGAAGTGTCTGTCTTCTGTAAGAGGCTTTTACCCCAAAAAAAAAAAAAAATCCCTGTGCCATTTTTGTCACAAGGAAGGATTGGGAAGGGGGGAGAAGGACACAGAGCAAGAAATATGATTATCACAGAATCATAGTATGTTTTACTCAATCCTGCAAACCTTGTGACCATCACCATTCTCATTAACTTTTGCCTGAAAACTGCTGGGCTGGTGCTGCAGTCACACGAGAATTGTCTGAAGTTGAATTGTTTTTATGTGTTGGGATTGTGAACAGGAATAGCCACACTCATATTAGCCCTCAGCTGAATTAAATTTGTTCCAATGAGCATGACCTAAGAAAGACTCTCATTATTGAATGATCTTCATACACCTAAAACATGTTTGTCTATTTCCCCTTTTGTTGTCACAATTTACAGGTGCACAGCTGTGACTTGTGTCAGTGATTTGTCAGCTCATAGCTGGCTATGGCCAATAATTATTAGGAAGAGATGTTTCTTTTGATAGTCACCTGATAAAAGCCATTACATATGCCTGTGAATAGTTTGGACAACTGTTTCACCAGAAATAGGCTGGAAATGGATTCTGACCTGTTTTATTAGTTAAATCAATCAAAGTCTAAGAGGGACAGCAGAGAAGTCTCTATGTTTATGTAAATTTATAATAAGATTTCATTAGTGCATGTCTGTTTGATATATATAAAGTGTGTATACAGGCTATTGAGGATAGAGAAGGGGTGAAGAAGTGGAATAATGCTCTATCAATTCCTGACCTATCTGGGGTTGCTTCAGCACTGTTTTTCTATCAGCTTTCCTATTATGACCTGAACTGCTCCCAGAATCAGGTTTGTGGGGCAGAATAATTCTCCCGAATTGCAACTAAATCCTGATGTATTAAAAAACCAGTGATAACCTGGGTGAGGCTGCTTTTGGGGGAGAGCTGGCATTTACAAAGGGAGCTTTTGTGGAGAGAACTGTCACTGAAATGTCTTCATAAGACTGGTGCACAACTTGACAAATCAGGTTTATTACTATCTAAGGTTATATGAGGCATTTATGGTTTGGAGTTTCTTGACATTGCCTGCCTCTCCAATCATTAGGGTAATCTTTCTTCATCAGTCAGCCAAGGCTATTGAAGCTGGTATTTTTAGTCATGTTCCTTGTGTTTCTAGGAGACTTTACATACCCATATGTTTTGGAAAATGTTCCAAGATTCCCCTGAGGAAAGAAAAAAAAAAAAAAAAGGCAATACTTGCCTTTTAGGTGGAGGAATGCCTTTTTATAGCCAGGGCTGTAACTTTTCTGCCTGCAAACTCCCAGGTGCATACTTGAGGTCAGCTAAGTTCCTTGTAATGGAATTGGGGTTTAGTTCGTACAAAACCTATGGAATCCCTGCAATTTGAGAGTGTAGTGCCCTTTCCCCCTCATAAATTGTGGGATTTTTCCCTTTAAACAATGAAGAGAAATATCCAATCCTCCTGGGAGGTGAGGCTCTAAAATAAAACAGGTCTTCCCAAAGTAGAAAAGTGCTGTACTTGCAAGATTTTCCACTGTCACATGAATGGCTGCAGATGACGGAGTCACTTCCATCCTACGGACCAAATTCATCGCAGCAATGTTTGTTTTCTCAACAGAGATTTATTTTTATTAGTCCACAAGTACTGAATAGGGACAAAATGAGTAATTCATCAAGCTGAGTGGTTTTAAGTATGAAATGACTCTGAATGGAGTTAAAATTTATAGGATTGATGAAATGTACTGTTCCAGCTCCTTAAACAGGTCATACAGGAATTATAAACAATGTTTTTTAATGACTGTTTATGAAATCCTCTCACAACCTGTTTATATCTTTTTTGAGCAACATTTTAATCACAAGAGTTTCTGATCAGATTAGTGTGTTTTCTTTACAAGCTTTAGGTTTGGAAGGCTTTTATTTTTGATATTAGATGTTATATAATGTACCTCAATATATTGTTTAAGCTCTCACATCTGCTCAGGGGTAATAATATAATCCCAACAACTTGCCATAACTGGGAAGTCCTCTTCAGGTTTTATGTAGCAGCAGTCCTGAAAATCTGTCTATGTAACTGTCAAAGCCACTCTCGTCAAATCCCAGAATATGCCAGTTTAAATTGCATCCATGCTTTTGGTAATCCCTTGCATTTTCCCCTTACAGACTGGTTACTTTTTTGGGGAGGTTGAAGGGGCTGTGATGAACAAGTTACTAACAATGGGCTCTTTTAAGAGGTAAGAATTAACATTTTATCTCTTAAAAAACGTTTTAACAAAAAATCAGTCATGTGAAAGAAAGGCAAGAGTGGCTGTGTGGCTGGATTCTCATCTATGCCTCTTTTCTGTACAACCTGAGCGTAATTTGATTTCATACACATCAAATATTGAGAGTATTGGAGTCAGCCTACAGTGAGTTTCTTATTGAAAGAATGGTTTATTTGACTACAATGCTAAAACTGTGTCCCTTTCCTCTTCCCACTGGGCTCAGGTGGAGAAGGGATTGGGCCATATCCCCATTGAGCAGTTCTAACCAGCTCTAAAGCAAGACATTTATGCCACGTTACCATCTTGACCTGTAAAAAGTTGGAGATTGCTAAAGCTAGACAGTTGAAAATGCCCTGCTATTGAAGGGAAAAATGTGTTCTCCCAGTAATCCATTTCCATTCACATGCTAACACCTTTGAACGTGGTTGTGACTATTGACCCAGTCTCACTGTCATGATGACATTAAAAACTAACAGTGATTTTACATGTTATCCCTTGAAATAAATTGTGCACTCTGAGGATTTAAGAATAAAATTTCCCTTTAACCTGTAACTCACCACTGGAGTCTTCATGGCTTTCACCTGGTCTAAGAGCTGTTCACGTGGTCTAAGAACTGTTCTGTACTCCTTTTTCCTCTTACAGCACAAGAAAACTGCTTTTATACTTTTCCTTTTTATTTTCCTGTACATTTCTAGTATGAATAAAGAGACATGTCACAGATGCCATCCATCACTGAGTTATTACCTGTGAGGGCATGTACAGAGGCTCTCTGAGCAGGTGGTTTGTGGGCTTGCTTGGTAAATCTGCTCCCTTAAAGGCAGAAGCTTTCTGTGCTGACCTGAAATGTGAGGATCTAGCACTCATAGAATCATTCCCAATCCTAGATTTCTGAGGGTGGCAACTTTTTCACATTTAGCACTGCATTTTTAACAAATGCTGTACAAGGAAGTGAAGTAATACCTGTTTATAGACTGGATTTGGCAATGAAAGGATCTGTTTGTACAAGAGATGAAGCATTTTATTTAATGTCAAAACTAAGGGATAATGCCTTAACTTGTCCCAGTTTGTGTTGTCCTGACACACAACTTGAGAGTTCCATCTAAAATGCACTGGGTGGATCTTTGGACTGGACCATTGGTTAGGTTTTTGCTGGGCTTTGACTTCATTATTAGAGATAACAAAGACATAAGGTCAGTGCAACTGAGCTGCATACCAAGGAAAATGAAAACACAATGAGCCAATTATTCAACCATGATAAACTGACCACTGCAAATCAGTTAAAGACAGAATCAAAATGGAGTAATTGCAAGGGAGAAACTTCCCACATAGCAGCAGAAAACAAAAAAAACCCAAACTGTGTTTGAGCTGTGTTAGATAAGGCCTTTAAATAAATTATTCCAACAATATGAAGAAGAAATATTTGCTGCTTCTTACAAAAAATACTGAGATGCATTTACAATATTTTTAAGATTACTAATTTGTCTGGGTGGGGATTGTGTTTTGCTTTTCCAAAATTTATTTAAATGAAATATGAAGAAAAGAAAAAGAATGTTTGGTGCAGTGGCAGGATCTGTCAGCAGCACCATTTCCCTGAGAGCACAGTGTGGGCATTGCATACGTTATATTGTCATTTCTGCTCTTACACGGAGGCAAAGCAGAGAGCGCGCTCTGTTCGTTGCATTTCATTCCCATGGTATCCAGAGCCATCCTTCCCTGCAATTTGCTTCTTACGTGGCATGTGCAGTCCAGCAGGTGAATTTGATAACTTGAGGTGGTGGTGCTCCCTTTTGGGTGTGTTTAGAAGGTTCTGTGCAGCCGGATCCCCCTGCAGCAGTTTGTTGGCAGCTCCAGGACGGCGTGGCCGGGGGTCCCCAGCGAGCTGAGTGGCGGTGCCAGCTCCTGCTCCCTCCTCATGATTCCTGCCAGCTGCCAGGCTCTGCAGCCACAAAAGGAATGAAACAACTCTTTGTCTGATCTCCCAACTACTGCACATTTGGAGTGATATAGAAGTGCTTTGTAGGATTGAGATGGAAGTGCTAAACAAAAGGGGGTTGTTTGCTGCTGACTGTATTTCTTTTCAACATGCAGCAGGATGAAATTCAATTTTTATGTTCGCTGTTTATTTTTTAAAGTGAACTTAAATACCTCCTTCCCTCCTCAATTTCTTTAAACTCAGTACTTCTTTTGAATAAAGTGTGCATATGTATGTATGTATATTTTCTTAGTTTATGGGGTTTATAATTAGGGAGAAAAATTATATCAGTGCCTGCACAGCAACGTGACATGCTCTATGATTTCATTTAGCAAAATTATGTTTATCTTATACCTTAAGTATTGCACACAGTTAAATAATTTAAATATGATTTAAATGTATTATTAAATAAATTAGGATGTGCTTATGGAAAAGTATCTGCTTCACATAACTTAGAAAAGTTTCTTTATGGTTTTCTCGGCGCTTTGTTTATATAAAAACAGTGAAAAAAAGTTCAACAGCTCAAACCATGAAAATCTAAAAAACCAACACTAACATCAGGAAAATTAAAGGCTATCAAAGCAATGAGATCCCTAAAGAAATAAACATAATAAACCTGTAAGAGAAAATGACACATCTTTTGACTTCAAAACACCTTCACCCTTTCCAGTAGGAGGAAAACTGAGCAATTCTGTATGACAAATATGGAAGCTGCATCATTTCCTCTCACAGTTCTCTTTCCACCAGGCATCCTCTTACATAGAAGAGTCTATACATTGTGGCACACCCCTGAAATTCAGCTTTCCCAGGAGCTAAGGCTCCCCCTATCATGTTCTTGTTGCTCTGAGAGCTTCTCTTGTTTCCCAGTTTTTCTTGTAGTGCAGATCCTTCACCTGTTCTCTCCACATGCACAGAGACACTTTCATCTATCTGTCTTGATCTGCTTTATTAACAAAACCTTGCAAGTGTTTTGCCCTCAGGTTATGGGTATAAAAGAAATTCAGAACTTTGTTCTAGAAAGTAGTTTAGTAAATTCTTAAAGTCAAATCATGAGATCAGTAACTAGTTGCTTAACAACAGGACAGAGTTTTCACTGAGGCAGCACAGCCTCCAGATAAAGGATGTTTTTCTAAGGATGTTTTTCTGTTTTAGCCAGTATTACATATTTAAGCATTTTATTAAGATATTCTCTTTCTTTGTGCTAAATTGACACATTTAAAATTTGCATTCATATTCATGTGGATTTTTACATTCATGGATTTAGCTGCCTATTAATTGGGCAAATTGCACATGTTTGCTTTGGAGAAGATCAGACTGAAGGAACATTCCAAACTGCAGTTGTTAGTCTTGGCATTGAACAAATTGTCATTACCAACAAGGTTTACTTTTTATTTTGTCATTTACTAAATGTGCATTTGGTACCTGCACACTGAAACTCCCACATTGATGTGGGGTATGTTTCCTGCTCATATTTTGTTCATGTGATATCTAAAATTAATATCTTTAGTCTGAGTTTTAGGCATTGTTTGACTTTATGTCTCTGTAAATATTACCTTTAATGCAGTGTATTCATGTACAGAATTAGTTTATACACTTAAGGAGAAACACAGGCATAAGTGTTACATAAATGAGTTCTCATTCCATATTCTGTAAATACAGGTTGAGTTGCAGTTTTTATACAGGTTATTTGTTGAGAACCTTGGCAATTGGGAATAGCTGAGCAATAAAAGCAAAGATACATGATGACAAGTTTGTTCTGTCAAAATGCTGTAATTTAGTTTTAATATTTCCATTGATTTTGGTGAAAGGTATTATCCTGTCAGCTTTTGGACACTAACAATCTGTCAGTGCAGGTATGAGAGGCAAAGCAGCAACAGTCTGGGGTTTCCTACGGTGTCCTGCTATCTCCCCACAGGAACCTCTCTAGACTTAGAAACTGGTTTGCTCCTCACACCATTCAACACCGTCCCTCTTTCCCCTCCTTGCCAGAATGCCAGACAGGCTGCACATTTTATGTCTGAGTTATGAACACCTTCGCAGCACAAGCGAGCTGCAGTCACCACTAATTTTTTCCACGGACTACTGAAGAAAGCATAGTGTCAATAATTAGAACTTCTGTATTATTGGCTTCCTTTTCCCAGCTCTTTAGAGCATATTTTCTTTTCCTGTAGATTTGACATTTACTTCCACGGTAAAAAGCTTATTATTCCTACGCATTATCTGAAACCCACCAAATCTTGAACTGCTGACAAAACATTTGAAATTTTATGCATTGAAGACCTTTCAGCTGCTACAATTGTCAGTGGTGGTATTTTATACTACCAAGTAGAAATCCATAGCTGTGATGAAAACCTGGCTGAAAGCAATAGAGAGTACATCTGCCAATATATCCTGTGCTGCTGTAGGTCTTGGAAGTTTAATTTTCTTGAACCAGATTTGTACTCAATTGTAAGTACATTGCAAAGTAGGAGAGTGGAATTTACTGTATCAGGAAATTGACAATAAAGGGGTTTCACTAAGATGTGTTTGGCCCCTGAAGTTACATAAACTGACTATATGCATGTTGTTGTGCTAAATAGCTGATGCTGAACACAGTTGGTCTGGGACGTCAGGCGTGGAAGTTGACAGTGTGGTGGTGTCAGGAAGTCTCAGGAATGTCCTCTGTATTAAGAGCAGAGCTCTCTGGGAGGTGCTGTGATGCAGAGCATGGACTTGGCACATGGATGGGCTTAGAAGTTTTGTTCCCTGACCATGGTCAGCGGGACAGAACATGGTCAGCTGCAAACAGCTACTTAAAGCTGAAATACAGTCACTTCAGAAAGGGTGATCTGGAAGCCTCTCTTCTGTAGCAATGCATTAAATCTTTCTGAGTGAGAAGAAAGTCTATTTTCTAAAATCCCAGAGAGATTTTAGCAGGGAAACAACACCCTGGAAATGACACCTGAACACAGAAACACTGCAGCATCTTGGGCAACGCTTTGACTACAAATGCTCTAATACCTTTTATACAGAATAGGGCTGGAAGGCTTTTGCTTTCATATTACATTTATAAGAATAAAACCAAAACAACTGGATTTGAAATTGCAAATGCCGTGGAAACAATATAATAATGTTTATAGTGACAGAGAATCAAGAACTGGTTCAATATGTTGCAGTGTTCAGATTTCAGCGTGGCTATCAGCTACACCCACTGATCTTTGAAGTGTGTTACACAATTCTTATTTGTTTCTAGCACAAAACAATCAGGTCTTTTAAGAACGTTTTGCAGTAATGCTTTCACTGATATATTTTGCACATCCTGTGCTATAATAGTGTGAATCATCTTTAGAAACTTTGAGCTAGGTGTTGAACAGCTCACTTTGAGACAGCAATGCATTAAACCCAAAAACTCATTCCAGGCTTTTTTCAGAAAACTATGTGCCTTTCTAAACATTTGCTCCTTTTGTTTTTTATTTTTCCTTTTTTTAAACCTGGATACATTAGCTGATTTCTCATTTTTTCCTGAACCAGAACCTTCACACTAGAAGACTCAAATATATTTACTTAAACTAAACTAAACTAACTAAAACAAATATATTCCACAGATGATATCTGCCTTTCCAAGTTCTATAGTGTTCCACATGTTTTTGAGGTTGTTTATTAAAACTCTTCCTTTCTGCCATCACTCTAAAATTTATTAATTATTTCCCTGTTAAATGAAGAGTGCTTTAACTGGATATATTTATTGGTTTTCTTTCTCTTAATCATAGCGCAATCTTAGATTGCTGAATACTCCCAACAATAAAATAACACAATCTACAAAAAATATAACCTAGCATGTTGGGGTAAAGTATTAAATATATTTCTGTTTATTTGTGGGAGTAAACATTTCAGTCTTTTAATGCATTTTTATCTTTGAGCATTTAAAGAAACTATCGAGTCTATGAGAATGTAATAATTACATAAGAAATGCAATAGAAGTTCAAATACTGAGGGGGGAAAGGCTTTTAACAATATCAGAAATTAAATTTAAATTATAATAGATCTTTCACATGACATTATAATAGTATATATATTCTGTATAGAATAGTATAATAGTGCATATATGTATCTACACCACTATATATATATAATAGTATTATAATAGTATTTGATTAACACTGCTTAGCAGAATAATGGAGTCCGCTGTTTGACCAGGAAGTTCTGCTGTGTGAAACTGAAAGCTGAGACATTGATTTCACTTTTAAACATGGAATGGTCACCAAACTTAATAAATATATTGAAAAAAACATTTACAATTAATATAGACAAAACAACGTATTCTGCTTCTAAGGCTGGATATTAAATAAAGCAGGATGTGACTCTTTCATCCATACAGAATTTCTTGATACTCTGCAGAGAGCACATTAACATCTCTAAACTGCCCTTTTCTATGCATTTATCTCTTGCCTCCATCACTGGGTGGTCCAAGTGCACACACAACAACACCGTGCTCGGATCCCGAGGAATAAAATAGTCCAAGGCTGGAAAGGCTGAGCTTTAGAAATTCCTACCCAGGGGCTGGATCCTGACCATGGTTAAAGGATGGAAAAGAAGGAAGGGAAAAGCTAGGGGAAGTGGTGTATTTCTGCATGCCACAGAGGCAGCACAGCTTACACCGTGTACTGCTCTGTTTGTCTTGGCAGATCTGGGTGCGCGGATCTGGCTGTGGGCGGGATTCTGCCAAGGATGGTCAGTGTTCGACTCCCACCATGTTTAGGTCTCTAGTTATGCGTTTGTCTCCCATGTGCCTCTCTCTGCCAGTCCACAAAACAATGGCTTCCTAGGCATTTCTATGCTCAACATAAGAGAAAAACAATAATGTAAGCAGTATGGCCATGTGCTAAATGTTTAGCTGAAGCTGCGACATCCGATATATTAGAGATTTTGTCTGTAAGCTAGGAAGAAATAATAGACATAATAAAGAAGTTTTAGTGATGATTGCTTTCACAAAATTAGATCAGAAAAAAAAAATAAAAATATACCCTTTACCACAATGGAATACAACCTTTTATTGGTACAGGTTGCAAGGTTTCATGGCATGCAGTGCAGGATGCCTCGTGGTGATGCTGAATGCATTTCATGACCTGGTTTTGGCAGCTTCTGGGACAACCTCTCTGTAGCTGAATTTGTGTGCTCTTCTTTCCTCTTCATTTAGAAGCAAGGCACACATTGCAAAACATTGAAGTCCCATCTCATACCTCTATTAACCATCTCTGTCCAGTTGTGTTCCCTCATCTCTCTGATGATGCAAAAGTCAAATGGAAATGTTCAATTAACAATAGTGAGTTCTCTATATTCACACTTGTTGCAAATTATCAGCTAAAGATTCTTTACATCTGCTACAGATTTTAAATGTTTTGTTTATGTGGATGGATAAAGTTAATTGATTGTTCTATGGACAGACAGATTTAGAGAAATAATCACAATAATTCCGTGTACTAGCTCTGAGTTCTGGATTTTGCATTTAGATCTCTGAAGTGTTTCAATGATAAGTAAAATTGCAAGCATAAGTAAATTTCCCTGTTTACTATGCATCTGAGGAGGCTTCTAGCATGAGTTGATTACAGCAGGTACCTGGAATATTTTGCCTTAGTGAAAAGAAGCAAAGGTAAGCCCATCCTGCTTCAAACATCTGTACTGCCAATGCACTGAAATTCCACCTCTGTCTCCTTCAGGGAGCTTCAGAAACAATGCCACATTGCAAAGCAGTTGTGCACTGAGCTGCTGGGACTGTAGAAACTGAAGTTTGAGTTGTCTGTTGTGAGAAGCCTCTCATATGCATAGGCTCTTTCACTTTCTGGGGCTAAATGTGCTGATCTGAGTCCAGAACCAGTTGTTTAAGCATTGTGTTGGATGTGTATTCTCCTCCTCCCCACATTGTTTATGCCATTGTGTGTTACACTCTCTGTGTATCTTCTCTGGTTCCTCCCAGTTGTGCTTTTGCTTTGTTCTGTAGTCTGCTAAAATCCTTACAAAGTTTTCACAGCATTTCTTACACTCTTTCCTGTAACCTGTATTTTAATGATCCCATTCCCTTTTTCCCCCACCCTGCTGTTACAATTCTTATTTTCCTGTCCACTTTGTGAGCAGAATGTTCCATATCACCATCTTTATTCCACTGTGTTTTCTTCTTTTAGTCAAGCAGTTTTCTGTTCTTCCCTGTAGAATTACACTTTATGACTACCAGGCCATGTGTAGGACAAACAAAGAGAGTAGCGACAGTGCCCATAGCTTACTGGACGTAAGTACAGCTCATCCTATCAGCATCTTTCCATGCAATCATCAAAGAAAATTGTTGCAAATATCTCATGGTCATTGTAAGACTGTTCTTTTGATTTGGAATGCTTATATCTCTCGTGTTTATCCCAGAGCATACAAAGGGTTCTTCATTACAAAATAATGCAAAGTGTTCCGATTTTTCAAGTTCATTTTAATGCTGGGCCATCATTTCTGAGGTTCTGTCAGAATGTTTTTTGCACTGTATGAATCTGCCTTCTTAGGAATTTGTAAATTTGGCAGTAGATTGTGTTTTGTCTGGGGGACTGGAATCACATATGCCTTTTCTGTACATAAACATGTAATTCAAATTAAAAATTGAGTTGTCTTTTTTTTTTTATATATGAAAGGAATGGTTCATTGACAAGGCATGCAAGTCAGTGATTTTAGCAATTTCTTTTGCTTAGTATTTAAACATGTCTTTTAAAGTAGAATTTCAATGCATTTAAACCCTTGTGTTGCAATTTGAGTACAAATCCTGTCCTTCTGCTAAGCTTGATTAGAGACAATCTGGGTCTTGACAAAGCAACACTTCTTTATTGCTAAATCCTATATCTGGGTCATAATCCCAAGGATGCTTTGTAACCATTCACTGATTGCTACAATGATCTATCAGAACTGATCAGGTGTTAGATGGAGGTTTTACATATGAAAAAGGAACCGTTTTCACAAATAGATGACAGTAATAGCATGAAAAAATTCTTAAGTAAGGCGAACAACCACAAAACACTGGCAATTTTGCCAGTCTGGAAAAGTTGACTGATAGCATTTTTAAGTGCACTTCTAACTAAAAAAATATAGATCTATCTAGGAAAAAAAAAATAACCCCTTAATAATTTTGTGCCTTTGGGGATGTTTTCATTTACATGTTTACATGACTGTTTTTCATATGCCTGGACTTATGGCATTTATCAGTTTGTTATCCACTAAGGTCTGAACCCGAAAAAAGACATCATATAAACTAGACTGCAATGAGATTTAAATTATTAGTGAAATAGAACAGGGTGCTGTGAAACACATTTACATGAAAAATCTTAAAATATATTACAACTCTTAACAAAAACCTTCTCTCCAAAGACTTGGGGCTTCAGTCTGGTTTGCCTAAGCACTCAGCATGTAGAGCTGAAGCATTATCCCTTAAAAAGTGGGCTCTATTCCAAAAGATATTTTTTTACTATTCCAAATTTTGTCCAGGATATTCAGGAAAAAAAAAAAAACCTGCATCTGCTTTGGGATGCACTGAGATATGAGTGAGTTTTGGTGATCCTCAGTATGAAAGATGAACAGAGTTTTAGGTTATTATTTTCCTGTTGATTCAGTCACTCCTATCAACTATGACTATTGAAATAGGAAGGAGCTTGCATTAAGGACAGGTAGGGCTGATTCCTCATGTTTCTTGTTTTGTGCCCAGTTTTTTACTTATCAGGTTATTAGGCAGTATCCAGTATAACTTCTGCTTAAGCAAAAGGTTTGCTCACAAAAGTTTATCCTTCCTTTTGAGAATTATGGCTTTATAAATAGAGGAACAGAGACAGGGACAAGATGGAAACTCCCTGAGAAGTTCCTGTTCTAAACAGCACAGGCAAGGAGAAGAGGCATCAGAAACTCAACTCCAGCCTTTTAAACTGTGGGAGTGAGATGATAAATTAGGAATGGATTAGATTTAGAGATCTCCTCGTCCATTTCTTTAATAGTATTGCTTCTTAACAGCTGTCCAGACACTGTGTTATTTAGAACTTTTGTTTTAATTGGTCCAAGACCTACATGGTTCTCCATAGAACCGCCTTGTTGTAAATGTAGTGGTGCCATGGAGACACAGAACTAAATTATTTTGGCTCTCAGTGTTGGTTTAAATATGTAGAAAGAATGAAATTCCTGCAGTTTTTGTTGCAGTTTTTGAAGGAACCGTCTGTGAGTGGGAAAGGCTCTCGAGTAAAATCACATTTTATGAGAATGTATTTATATCATTGAAATTACATGTTTTTTCCACTGGAATTTCAAAACAAAATATTTTTTCATTTTCTGTAGAAATTAATGAATTTTTCAGATACATTTGGGTTTTAAATTTTAATTAATTTCTAATATTAAAAGAATTACTAAAACACATGCTGTATTTTACACTAAATAAGTATTCTTCATAAGTAATAACGAATACATTGTTTTACACTAAATTTGGCATTATGAAAACAAAAGTATACAGAAAATTGAATTACCTGGTCATGAAATTTCAGGTTTTCTGATTTGAAATCAAAATTAATAAGATGTCCCACAGGGCTGATATTTTCTTTTCTTTCATCTCCAGGAAAGTCTTGTAATTTTTATCATTTCCTATGAGACAGGGTTTCACAGGTGAAAAATCTTTCCTGTCTCAGACATGGCACTAAGTGAGTTCTTTGGATCTGTGAGTCCTCAGCCCTGCACAGAAACTTTCTCTGTGTCCCCTGAAAATTTTAGATGTCCTGTTACTGCTCTGCCAAACAGCATTGCTTCATTGAGTGCTGATTTGGGGTGGTTAAACATGGTTTTAGAGATCTGAGGAGTTCTGTCATTATGATTTCTATTTGTTAAAATACTCTGTTTTATCTCTGTCTAAAAGAGTCTGCAGAATTTTATGCAACTAGGACATCTTAACAAAGATGAAGGAGACAAGGAGAAATTCCAAATTTCTGGAAGCTGACTTTTCTGCCTGGCTTTCTTTCATGAAAGATTAATCCTATTAATAGTCTTTTCAAAAATGAAATATTCAGAATGTAATAGAAATACTGTAAATAGAGGATTTTCAAAGGATTTGCTGTATTTGTTATGATCCAGAAAAACAGGAGGAGGGAAAAAACTTCTTAAAGTGCTTACAACTGGACTGTCAAATGTCAGATAAACATTTAGGTAAATTCAGACTTCAGAAGCTTTTCTGAGCTTAATGAGGCTGAGGTAATGAATAGAGATTTGCATTATAGAGAGGCAAATCTGTGAACTGCAGCCCAAGAAAAGCTCATATTATCTACCCAAGCTGTTCCTCCAGCAATAGCCTGGGAAATAGGAACCCCTAGAGGTTAAAGATTTAAGAATCATTTGCAAAAAACTTTCCTTTTCCCACCGATAATCTGTGCATATGGCCAAGTATGCTATAAAGGAAATTTCGTTACTATACATTTTATAATCAATATAATAATATTTCTTGATCATTAAAAAGGGGGGTTTTATGCTCCACATGCATTTGAATGTCCAAAGCATTGTTTTTACATGAAGAGTTCAGTTAAGATATAAATGCTGCATGTTTTGCCTTTATATTAAATGAGTTGCTTCTCTTCAGCCTTATAATGCCTTCTTTGCTGCAGTAAAGTGGATTATGACTGAACTTGTTCTGTAAGTAGATTTAATCAAGAATGTAACAAATATTTCCATTAATTACTAAATATTTTTACTTTTTGAATATTAATATTTGTGCCTTTTGCATTTTACATGCATTGTGCTGCTTTTCTTACATGATTTTAAACATAGTAATATTTGTCAATCTTTTATTTTCCCAATTTTGCTTTTTTTAAAATCTGAGAAAATTTTGGCTGTATAACTGCAGTTTCACTTTTATTGCATTCATGGTCTTCACTTGGATCTGCATGTCTTTGTTTAGCAGATCACAGCACACAACCCAAATTTCTTTCTGTGGTTACTGTTAAGTTTTAGGTACATGACTGGCTGTTTGTGATGCTGCTTGGGTGGGCTGCTGCCAGAAGAGAAACTTGTTACTCACTGTATTGTTTGTCACTTCATAAAATTCTGTAAGATGGACCCATCACAATGCCAGATAAGGTGTATTTGAATGTTGCTGAATTTTTCTATCTCCATTAATTCTTCTAAAACTCCCAGTTAATTCATAATGATGCTTATCTTTAAGAGAAGGTGCCTAAGAAACAGCAATATCATATGGAGAAGAGGAAGCCTTAAAATGTGTCATGTTATTAAGCTATATGATTTATTATTCTTCTTATCTGAAAGCAGAGCTGCAGATATGAGTGAATTTTATTTTTTCTGACATAGAACTGATTTTTTTCTTGTAGTCATTTTGTTTAATTGTAAATTGTATGGGTTTTTTTCAAGGCTCAGAATAAGAGTTAAGGAGAATTAACTGAATGGCTGCTGCCAGAGGGCAGAGATTGATCTGCAATGCAGCTTTCCAAGCGAATATAAGAGAAAGAAATTGTGTTAAAATGAGACTGATGCTACATATCACAGCTTTGAAAATGTTAAGAAACATTCTATGTTTATAAGTATTGCAGATTCATGGGCATATGATGAATTTATGATATACATATATAAGTTATGATAACTTATATACGATGTTGGTTTCATATTCTTTACTCTTACAACAACTGATTGACTGACACTTTTCAGTCCATTCTTCCAAATAAATCATGGTGTATTTTAGTGTTCTCTACAATTTAGTTGGAGTTGATTAGACAGTGGTTAATCTTTTCTGCTCTTAGAAATAAAACAGCTTTATTATTTCAATTTGAGAATTAATAAAAGAAACTATTTTATGTGTACTTCTGTATGGTAGCCTGGACAGTTACAATCCCATTTTACTAGGATCAAAGTACCCACATGAAGAAGAAAAAATGTTCAGCAGCAAAAATAGTGTGTGCTGCCATGCTTTGAAAATTTTAATAGACATTTCAAATACAATCAATATTTTCAATTAAAAATGCCTAAAACTATGATTTATTGATGAAGTTAATTTCAGAATAAATTTTAGATGTTAAAATAGTAAAAATATGAGAGCAGCAGTGGTTGTTAATCCCAGAGTTATGCCAGTAACTTGAATTTCAGTTCTGTGTTAACTTTTATTTAAAATAGGATTAATGTTATCAAGCTACTGCCAGTTTAGTGTTTTGAAAACATTCTGTGGGGTAATGTGAAAACTCTAATAATTTCTCCAGGTTCCTTGTGGAATTTAATCTATGCAGTTGGTGGCACTCTGATCTAACAGCTAAAGGTAAGTATGATTTTTTTCCTGGCATAATGGCAAAAATCTCTAAAGTAAATTGGACTTTTGAAATTCAGATGAGTGTACACTGTATTAGATTAAATAATAAACATCTGATGATAGTTTTCCTCCCATGCAAGCATCCTCTTCTTTGTTAATGTTTCCTAAAACACAGGAAAATTAACATCTTCTATGAATAGCAACTAAGTGCTTGTGTGCACTCTAGGAACAAAGTACACTGCTGTAACAGAAAAGTTAAAATAGTAGATAATGATTAAATATGTTTTTTAAAAGCATTTCTATTCCTTCCAAAACAATCTTTGTGAATTAAGCAATTACACTGAGCTGTTTTATTTATACAAATTCTTTTTTTTCCTAGAGCTGCCATAAAATATAGTGGAGTTTTTGTGCTGGAAAATGCCATTTCAAAAAAAGTGTAAATAAATATTACTATCTCTCTTATTTCATACAAAAATAATTTTTAAAGCTTAAGTTAGTATATTTTATGCTAAAGGCTGCTATGCATTTTGTTTTACCATTCCATTCAAAATAGACATATAAATGTATTAAAATTCAATTTACTCAGAATTATTTTTTTAAATGCAGAAGCTTCATTTGAAATAATGGAAATTTTTAATAGTTCCACTAAGAACAGGAAGTTTCAGTGTAAGCTCTCTTTTTATATTTTAACAGACTTTTACTGAAAAACAAATGGCCACTTTACAAGAGCAGGGCTCTTGAAGTGACAATTTAATAGGCAAATTGTGCTGTGTGTCACTGACTGGTGTAAAGACTTAAACTGAATTCTTCAGCTTCATATTTGCATATTTCTTAGCAAAGCAGGGGATAAAATTGCTGCTCTAGGCTTCATTTAATATTTGCATTGCCTGGATACTAGGCTGTCTTTATGCCAAAATAATATCCTGTCTGAAGCTAAAATATCAGTCAGGCCCCCAAAAACCAACTGTTCAGTGATTTCCCTAAGCTTGAAGAGAACCATCTCTAACACTGAGGCTGTGCAGGACAGTCAGGTTTGCTGTGCTAGAACCAGAAAATGCAAAACTATTCCTTGAGGAATGGCAGCTGTGCCTGTCCTAGTCCTTGGTGTTTGCAGAGCAGCCAAAGCAGACAGTGGAGGAAATAAATAATTTTTCTTTCAAGTGTGCTCTACAAATATGCCTTAATATATCCTGACATGAAACATCCAGTCTCACTTGCGTTTTATGCTAGAGAAAATATCTTTCAAACACAACATCCCTCTTCATCTCATGAAAATGAATGTCTGATGTGTATTTTGAGAGTGCACTCATTGCAGAAGAGGCAATAATAACTTGCAAACTTCCTTGTATTTAAAACAAAATATCAGTGCAGCACCTTGATGGACCAGTATTATTGGGAAATTTCCATTCATGTTTTAGTTGACAATTCACTTGCTCCCTTTCTTTGATGAGTTAAGAGTATGAGACATACCCACTCTTCACACTCATTGGAATGTCAATACTTTTAGGTAGTTCTTGCCCAGCTCATGTGTGGTTTGGTAGCAAGGGATGGTTGTTTGGAAGGAGCATATTTTAGGAGGAAAAAGCAGAAGATATTTTACAAAAGAGCAGGAGAGAAAAGCACATGCTTGGGTATGTTCTTCTGTAAATGCTGTATTAGTATTAAGGGTTGGAATATTTATTGATATTTATTATTTATTGATATTTATTAATATTTATTGACTGCACTTCATTAAATTAAAATTAATAAACCCTCACATTTATTTCTTACTTAACAATGCTTAAAAAAGCTCAGAAAAAATATACATCAGTTCCTCGAGTGGAGAAATTGCTTCCTACTCAAATTGTGACATTAATGGAACGTGATATACTATGAAGATGCTGGAGGGTCTACATACACCTGCCCATTTGCCAAACCCTACTATGGAAAATACTTCTGCCCAAGATATTTAATTGCAATCACATTTGTAAATGAGAAAGAGGAAACCTGAAAGCTTGGGCAACCCCATCATCTTCTGGACTCTAGTGAGGTGCAGGAAATGTGAGACCAATGAATCTTTGTCAGCCTCTTTGTTACACAAGCCATATGTTGATACATGTGAGGCTAGACTCAAAACACAGGTGAGAAACTCCCAACAGATAGGGAGAGCAGAAGAGAAAGGGAGGAGGTGCAGTAGAGCTAGCAAGGCAATTTTCTATAAAGCACTGAACTATTAGATATGCCACAGCCACAGTGAGAACATGGAAACATCAGAAATATCAACTTTTCTGACCAGCTTTAGTACCTCTTTTGAGATCTATGTATTTGGTGGAATATATATATATATATTATATACAAAAGCTGTCACCAGTTCAGAAATGCATGCCCTGGTGTGATTGGAAATGCTGCCCTGGCACTGCTCAGTGGATGCACCACTCACTGAAACAGATCATCGCCAGGGGAAGGGCTGTGGAGCCCAAGAGCCTGTTCAGTGTAATCTATTTCTGTCATACCTCATCTTGTTTTCTCACTTAACAATTAGTTTAAGATAGGGTTAACATTTGTGCTGATGTGCAAAATGTATCTCTGTGTTAAGGAACAATGAAGGGGTGGGGAGGAAAAAGAAAGGGAATGAGGGAGGAACGTTGTATGACAGATACTTCGGTGTGAGAGTCAGAAGAGCTGCTGCCCTGTAGTTTGACCTTGAACCAGCCCCACTGCTTCCTGGTAACTCAGTTTCCCAGTCTTTAAGATGGAAAAAATGACACTTTTTCCTTGCATTGCAAGGATTTCATATTAAAGGTGCTATGGAGTCTTTTAATTATTACTATTTTGGGAAGCAGATAACAAGCATGGCTGTTGGGTAAAGTAACTCTTCTGCCTCTCCCACCCACAGTTATTTTAACTCATGAAACCCTCCAAAGATTCCCAAGCTGTAATATATAATAGATATTTTGGCTTCAGTAAAATATACCACAATTTGCATATCAAATAAATGTAAACTCACATGAATAAAGTTTAATGATGCACCGCACCACAGAGATAAAAATGACAGTAAATCCATCTTGGATCTACACAGAAAGAATAGAAACTCATGCATAAATGTAAAGTAGGTTGGCAATGGCTAAACCATTAATAACTACTTTAACAGTGATGTCTTGCAAAATTACATTCCATGGATAAACTTTTTTTTTATTTAATTGAAAAAATAGTGTTATGCACTGCCTAGGAAATCTCACAGGGTGGCAGAAGCTGAGTAACATTTCCGTTCTTTGCGAGCTCTGTAATGCAGCATCTCATGTTGTTCACAATTTTGTGTGCTGTTCTTCTCATGTTAACATCAAGATGTTTTTTCCTGTGCCTATAGCTCAGAGGTTGAAACAAACCCTAGAGCCCTGTGATACCGAATATCCAGCCTTTGTTTCCGAGCGCACCATAAAGGAGACCACGGGGAATATTGCTTGCGATGACTGTTTCAAGTAAGCCCTTTCAGTTTTTTTTTTATACAACTGTTTGTGACAAAGCAATAAAACTGAATTATTCAAGGCTGTGTTGAAGAATGTACAAGTCTGTTGTGTTTTATCCTATGTGCTGACCTCTGTCAAGGTGCCGTTTCTCCTGTTACAGGGGTCACTTAAAAGTTTGATGCTCTTAAATTAAAGCCGTGCCTATTCTTTTCTACCAAAAAAAATGTAGAAGCAGTAGAGGCTTAGGTTAATTTCAAATAGTGAATGTTTTAATATTTTTCCTAAATACAGGCAGCATTCTAAGGGTATAGGCTGTAAGATTTAGATCCAAAAGGTAAGTGTTGTTCAGTCTCCTGTCCAGGAGTGAAACCCTTCTGGATAAGTTAGGAGTTCCCTTCTGCTACGGTGAGATCTGGGTGTTTCACTGGGATGCCAAGGAGAGTTTCCTTCTTGGAAGTGCTAGTCTGAAAGAGTGGGAGACGATTAAATCTATTCTCCAAACTTTTGGTTCTGGGAAGCTGTATTAATAATAACAAATCTCACATGACAGTGCTGTAATGTCATTTCTACCAGTGCTGATGGAAACTTGTCCCTTATAGAGCTAAAAGAAGAGGAATACTTCAATCTAGCTTTCCTCTTTCACACTGAAAATGTATTTTCTCTGCATTTGGTGCCCATGTGCTGTGTGTGATATTTTGACTGTAGTTCTGGTACATTTTAACTGTGGAATTGCATAGGTATTGCTTATGAAAATTTCTGTACTTTGATAAGTCTCTTAATTGGATTTTCTTTACGCTGAGAGGTTGTCATCACCAGGGAGATTAGTATTTACAACAATAATTTGTCTATCAATATTGATGCCAGGAAGAATTTATAAGTTAAACAAAAACTGTTGCAGCTCTTCCTTTCCAGAATAAATCAATATGCAATTAGCAAATAAAGGTGAAAACTTCACTTTGAAATCAATAGGTGTGCTTCTGGACTTACTCCTACATTTTCTCCCTGATATTTTCATTACTTTAAAACAGGAAATGAGAGTAAGTACACTGGAGATAAATTTTAAGTGCTAATATTCACTTTTCATTTGCTACTGACCAACTTTTAAGTAGAAGGAAATTGTTAATGTCTAGTATGAATAATTGGTTTTATATGGCTTTGTGGAATAGAAGTATGAGAGTGCTTTGTAAATTGATGCTCTGGAACCCTTTAATGCAACAATAGGTCCCACTGCCTGAAAAGTACAAACTCAACAAAACCAAGCCGTGATTTTTCCACTTGACATATCAAATACAATGAAGTTACACTGCTGCAAGTGCTTTCTGCCAGCATTGTAGAATTTAAGCAGCCTTATTTTGTGATAATTTAGCAGAAGGTTACTGAGAAGTTGTGAAACAAATGAGCATGCAGTCCTGGAGGTGTTCCAGGCCAGGTTGGATGGAGTTTTCAGCACCCTGGTCTAGTGGAAGGTGTCCCTGCCATGGCTGGAGGGCTGGAACCAGATCGTCTTTGAGGTCCCTTCAAACCCTAACCATTGTATGATTCTGTTTAAATATTGCAAACAGACACATGCAAAGAAGATTAATTTAACAGGACCAGGTTTTCTCAAAGGAATGCAGATTTTAGTCTGTGTTCCTAGGTAACTTCAGGTCAAAGGAAATAAGTTTCAAAAATAATACAATTCTGCAATACTTGGAAAGCATGAAGTTGGAAGCTGAGTTTAGTGAAAATTATAGTATTTCAAAAATAATGCACTGAGATCTTTTTCATAGAAAAACATTTTGTGTTCCACAGTGGAAAAAAAAATAAAATAAAACCCTGTAAGCTGCAAACTGATCTCAAGGCACCCATTATTTTTCTCCACAAGCAACGGCAAAACCTAAAGAAATAATCCAGAAGAACTATTAGATTCTCAAGGGAAAGTTGTTCATTATACCATTTAGCCACTGTCATTAACAATCTACAAATTGCATCTAAGATTGCAGACTGCATTGGATTCCAAATATTTTTGTTATAACCCAGGACACTTTCCCGCAGAACAGCTAAGGAATTTGACCCAAAGTCCTTTGTAGACCTACATCTTCTGACCCAGTTTTCTGCTTCATAGCCTCAGTACCAATAAATATTTTTACAAGCAAGTGTATTGCTTAATATTTGTAATTTAAGAATGATGGGCTCAATCAGAATTTATATTCAGTCTTTTATCCAGTAAGTCTGGAGCTGACACTGTGTCAGGTGCTTAATCTGTGCAGTGTCACTTTGAGCCAGTGGGATTCTTTTCTGCATCCTCCTTGGGTCATGTTAGGGGTTAATCTGTGATATATAATTGCAAGTATTTATTGCAAATAGAAGAAGATAATTGTAAATATTTACCTGATGATGCACCCCATGGAATACTGAAAAACCGCTTGAAAGACACTAGAAAAGTCAGTGTATTGTGAACAGGTTTGCAAACAAAAGTTGTGCAGATACTCTGCTTTAAGCAGGTTTGTGTCAAAAGATACCCCAGTCCCTGGCTTTTGTTCCTGCAGTGTCAGGAACTACTATGGAGCCCTTGTCTGAAAAAGGAGACTAAAACCAGTCTCTTAGTAGAAGTAAAAATGATGACTGATGTTAATTGAAACCATATAATGTTACTTAGAAAAGACATTTTGGGGCATAAATACTGTGTTTTTGCTAACAAAGTCACAGTCATAGGCAGCAAGGTCACAGGGTGAGGGGCAGAGGCTCAGTTTTATTCTGTCCTGGGTGTGCTGTTACTGATCTTGTAGGAACACCCTGCCCATGCCAAAAGGGACAGTCACCAAATACATTAATGAAAATTCATAAACACTTCCAGTCACAAATTCAATCATGGGCACTCGGATTTAAATTGAAGTATACTAAAATAAGTCACACAGTAGAAAGGATTACCTGCTAATTACTTTTTTAATAGCTGGCTCACATTTTCAGCCATCTCTGGGAACTCCTTCAATGGAAGGACACCTATGCACTTAAGCAGGAACAAAAAATACACAGACATATAAAATGCACCCCCTAGATGTAAACTTATCTCTTACAAGAAAACTAGTTTGAGATAAATTGCAATGTTTAAAAACAATTTTCAAAAATATAGGTTTTATTAAGAAAGCAGGAGCCTAAAAGAAAATAAGAATTAACATAAGAATGTCATTAGGGTCAGGGTTTGGCTGTCCCACCCCATAATTTGTTGTTATTCAATATCCCAATGATTATTAAATTAATCTGTTATTTAAACAGCAATCAAAAACAAGTCAACCCACATTTTCTAAGCACCATCAACAAGAGAGAAAAACTGGGATTTTTTGAAAAATCTGAAATGGTTTCATATTTTCCAGTAAGCAATTCCCTTTTACAGCAAAAAAAACCCTAAAAAAAATATAAACCCCATTACTTCTGAAAACTTATAGACTGTTCTATCACAGCCTCAAGATTGAAAGTAATTAATTGCTAAAGAAAAATATTTTTTCTTTATCAGTCTTAACTGTCACTCTTTCTGTGGAGTCAGAACTGCACTAATGACAGATGTACTTGGTATGGGCTTTAAAGGTGTACTGCTGCTCAGAATTTCTGATTAGACATCAAGCTTGAAGTTTTAGACTATATAAATGTATTACTGATGCTTGTAGTTTTATGAATACTGCACCAATATTTCAAACAATTTTAAATATAAGTGTGTTAACCAATGTTTTTTAGCAATGCTCACTGGGTACCTCACCAGGTTTTGCCTTTTGGGGATCTCATCACAACAAATTTTACTTGGACTAAAGGTGTCTAAGAAAAGCATCACTAGAATGCCAAAGCTGTTATAAATTAGAAAAGATGATGGCTGTTAAGATATTTGATCAGAAAATGTTTGCCAGTCTTTTTATTATATCCTCCCATCTCTTTGTAGAACAAACAAAAATTATTTTGTCTAATAGCAAATCTCATTTATGCATGAAAATTCAAATGTTTTCATTAAGCTTCATTTATTAAAATAACATCAGTTTCAGCTATAACTGCTAAGAAGGTGAGTATAGAAATTTAGTTGTCTGACTATTTATACTTTAAGCACATATGTTAATATTTCAAAGTTGCAAGGAGCCAGTTGGGTGCATAGTTGCCAAATTTGTGTGTTCGCTGTAAAAACTGTGGTTATACAGATTAGGCAGCAGTTGCACAGTCAAATGCTTAAAAATTTGCCCTTTTAACCTCTCCTGTTCATGTGTGATGACATATTGGACTTGGATGAAGACCAAAAATCTGGCCTTACTTCCAAAAAAATCCCCCTTCTCTTTTAATTGCAGCACTCATGGGTCTACAAGGTCAATACCAAAACCCCAAAGAAACTGTTTTGTTTCCAGTTGATCCTTTGTTCACAATCTTAAGACACAAAGAGGAAAGTAAATATAAGAAAGCCATATTGTCACCAGGGAAGCAAGGAAGTATTTAGCTACAATCATCCTAACCCTGGGCAAGACTTATGTGTGTTTTAATTATGCCAGATATGAAAGATGAATGCATTTACTTTACCCTGTTGGGCATCACATGTAAGTTGCCTGTTAAAATGTATAAGAACTGCTTTGAATAAACACTGTCCCATGTATCACCTATTTGCCCCCACAGAGTGTTAGTAAGCAGACTAACAGCAAGGAAAATCATCAAGAAATCATCAAAGAGAATTGCTTCTCTTGCTTTCTCATAGACTGGGCATTGAATGCTGTTTATTGTCAATAAAAGAGGTAAATGGCAACGGCAACGTAGTTCATGATGATCCTGAACCCTTCATGTGGACTTATAATGGCAAATTTCAGACTTGTCCACTAAATGCACAGATTTGGCAGGAGCAGATAAATAACAACACAAATTAGACAGACTGCTCAGGGCATGAGTATATTAGTGTCAGGAGTAGTGCAATCTGCAGACATTAAAATGGTAATGCTTTTTAAAACCCACTTAATCTCGAGACATACCACCATTTGCTAAAATATTTCCGCATTTCTTTCGCACTAGAA